CTTTTTTGTTTGTTTGTTTTAGCCAGAGGTAGGTGAATCAGAAACAGAAATCAGCCTACACTTAAAAAAAAGCACAAATAGCAACAAAAATACAAAAATACCACTAGCAAAAAAAATAACAGCGGGTGCTTTTACTCTAAGTTTCTGTGCCAGCAGGCAGTAGTTTTCCAAAAATAAAATTTAGAGGCCATTTCAATACTAATTTCTGGAGTTGCCCTTTCTAGTTAAATGATGCAAGAGGAAAATGAAAGATAAGCTTGCTTCTTCTGGCGCGCTGCTGCCACTAGGCGAACTGCAAAGCAAGACGGTGCTAAAGCCTGTCCGTGCTTCAGCGACGGGAGATGGGAGCTTCCCGGAGTGATTTCACACCTTACCAGAGCAGGACAAGGGTCCTTGTATCGCAGCCCCTTTTCCTGACACACACAACACGTGCTTGGAGGTTTATGCCGTATTCCTGCTCCTCACCCTCCTCTTATGCAGAGTGAACCTTTGCTCCTAGGCCACGGCAGAAAACACTCGCTCAACTCCCTTATCAAGGCAGCTCACAAATTACACACAAATTCCCATTACAAAGAGTAAAATAAGTTCAAAGATCCCAGCTTGATCTCAGCACAGCCTACACGTAATTGATACACATCACAGAAAGCTGTACATAAAGCCAAGGATTACCTAGAAACTCAAAACAAAGGCAAAACAAACATAACGTAAAGGTTTGTCTCATCCGGTCCAAACCTACTGCAGTCGCATCAGTTATCTCTGGATATTGAAACAGAGAAACAAAACAAGAACTGCTGTGTTTCCCCATTTCACACACCACCTGACCTTCCTCCCCACCATGCAAGTGGTGATTATTCCTCAAAATGAAATATTGCGGGCTGAAGTTATAACCACAGGAAGAAATGAGAGTAGAGAAAAACGGGTCTGGAAGTAGGGATGGGTCTCCATCCAACAAGTCAGCCGGCAAATTTTAATATAATTGGGGAAAGGGGGATCACAGCTAGCAAACCATATTTCGATTTTACTGCACCTAGCTGAACTTAAAAAGGAAGAAGGAAAGCAAAACTCCTCACCTGACAGGAACAAAATATTCTTATTGCTTAGGCACCATATCCCTCGCCAACACAGAGGCGCAGCAGGCAACAGCTCTTGCCTAGTTCACCTTTTCCCAAGCGCTGCAGGTTTTTAAGCTCTGCACGGGGCCAGCAAAGCATCCTCAGCCCACGGGGGTTTCGGGTTGGCAGCACAGCTGTTTCGCTCTTCCCTTCATCAGACGCAGCTCACTGGCTTGTCCGGCTACACGGTGCTCACCGGGAATGGGCTCCACGGGAGGGCAGCCCAGGCGCCCGCTCCCGGCCCCACCGCTCCCACACCGGCTGCTCCATCCCGTGGGACAGCGGTGGCTCGTGCAGGAGGGACAACCACGGCCTTAACGCCCGTTCTGTAGGCGAGCAGGGGGTTATTACCAGGGTTACCTCCACGGAGAGGCTGCATCTCCCTCCCAGTCCATCTGCTAGGCTGTTTCATAGCTGGGTTTGCTTGGATATGAAATGAGGAATCGTATCATGAAGGCATAGTTTTTCAAATACTGCAAGGGAACTGGTAAAGAAAATAGCCATATAATAAGGTAAGGATACATAATAAGGTACATAACAAGGAGATAAAGTATTTGTCAGCAAAGGATCGAGCACTCCTGAGTTTGCTTTTTTTGGAACGCATCTCACAATAAATGCAGGAAAATATTTAGAAGTGCCTTTCAAAGGTGCCTTTCAAATCACACTAATACTCCCATTTTTGGGTGCCCTAACAGAACAGCTCCTACAAGGAGACCAACACACTTACACAGAAAGCTTTAAAGGACAGAAGGGAAACCAAAAAGTGCAGAAGAGTTAAACTGTCCCTTTTTTCTTTTTTTGAAAGCAGATTAAAAATGAAGTAGCAGTGCTAGCCTATCTGAACATTCTTCATAGAAAGATATCCAGTTTTCCTTTTGGTAAGAAACATTGTGGAGTTCAAGGGAACAACACAGATATTCATCATACTCTGCCCTTTAAAAATCAAAGACAACCAATTACAGCCAAATTCTCTGTTATACTGGCATCTTAAGAAGGAAAAGATCTGGAAAGGACAGGGATCTTTACAACTTCTCTTCCCATTCTTTTCTCTGTTGTGCTTGCTCAGTTGTACTCTATCTCTTTACATAACATCAACTGCATCTGCAAACAGGAACACCTACGTTTATCAGAAAGCACAGATTAGAGTAGCCGATATAGACACAGGTCATGTAATTTCTCTGGAAAATCCTCTATGATCCTAATATGAAAGCACAGGTCTTTATGGGAGTGTGGGGGAGAAGAGCAGACCTATCTCCTAAGTCGTCCTGAGCTGTGACAGCTTTATTCAACAAACCATACTAACAATTTAGCAGTTACGGCAAAGCCAAAGAGGAAAAAAACAGAACTCACTGTAGCATCTTCCTTTCTTGTTGAGCCTTCTCTTACAAGCTACGTACAAACTTACATGAAAAAGGTCTGTTCTGAGTCTAGTTTACAGGCTGAGTTTAAGTCTGTAATTACAAATGGTTCATGGCATTTCTAACTCAATGAGGGAAAAAATAAGAAACAGGTTCAATACAGCATCTGAGGCTGAATAATTGCTTCGGTTAAAAAGCAGGTAAACTTAGTTAATGGAGGGAGGGGAAAAAAAGAATAAATTAGTGAACCAACTGCTCTCTCCTCTGCTGCTCAAAGGAAAAAAGTCCTTTGTCTTCTCCATGAATTCATATGTACCTACTGTCTTTTATTTACCTTCACAAAGATGGAACATTTTGAAGCTAATCCTGGACTTAGTTTGGGGCACGGAAGACAGAGAGAGGAATGCTGGAGCAATGTCACCTTGAGACGCACCACTGCAAATCACAGACACTGAGCCACTTCGGTGCCTCATATAACTGACATATAAAATACTTTGTAAGAAAAGCAAACCAAAGTAACAGTATTTTATAAAGTCTATCAGTTTGGAAATATATACATTACTTTGTTTACATATATTGAAGGCATAAAAGCATATCTTCCTTTTTCCTTTTCCCTGCATGTGTTACTGAACACTGCTGACGGTAAAGAAATAAGCTATTCTCTCTATTTTTTAGCTTCTGGTATAAAGCATAGTGATGTCTTCATATGAAGTAAGAAGAGACTTAAGATGAGACAATTAAAACGAAACTTCTTAACGGCATTTGCTTAAAATTCACTCCCCCTCTCGAAAAAAAAATGAAATAAAATAAAATAAAATGAACAAATGTGGTGCTTCTAGTACTAGAAAGCGAAGGGCCTCCTTACCCATACGTCATTCCAGAAAAAAAGCTTCTGTGTAGCTGTTTGTAAGCAATACTTCAAATAAACAAAACTGAGACATTTCACGACTGTAAAACAAGGGGTTTCAGTTGTCGGGACACACGAGCCACGCCAACCAGCGGATGCTTCAAGAAGACTCCGGAATATGCAGATCATGCTAAGACCACTTTCCAAGCAATAGGCAAAAGAAACCACACAGTCCTGCAGTCAGCAGTAAAAGCTATCCCAAAGAAACTGCCTTCGGAGTTGACAACCACAGCGTCACGGGACGACAGCTGGAATTTTCACTAGCAGGTTCAATGTACGCAGCGTATACGCAGGGTCGTATGTGGTATGACTTTAATGTTACCCTTACGCCGATCAGCTCTCCCATTTCCAATTCAGAATGCACACAACACCCTGAAGATCAATCCTTCCTCCTGGAGGAGCTTGGTATTGAAAGGCTTGAAGTGGACATTTAAAATGCACCTGCCACTGCAAACACTATGTGGACTTCTTTTTAAGGAGCAAATACAAAAGGGTTTTTAAAACAGCGTATCTGGGAAAGCTCGAGCTGCACCAGGCAAGGCAGTTTTGAAGCAGTGCAATGTTTGCGACAGGTCCAGCCCGACAGACCAGAAACTTGCTTGCTGCTGCCACCATGTCCTTAGGAAGCACTGGGAGCTCACCTAGGATATCCACAGAAACTCTGTGCGTCTCTGAAGGGCACCCAAAGGCACATGAGCACAGACGCTTCAGCTCTTGTAGCCTAACAAAAATAAGTAATAACAGAAAAGACAAAAGAGCGCTCCGTCTGGATCAACACTGGCTTTCTGACTAACCCAGAGTCTGACCAGACTCCAGAGATGTGTGTTGCCAGTCCTTTTTCTCCCTCGTTTACATGGAAAAGATCTGCAGATGTAGCCTGACAGAAGAAAGGGAAATTTAGGAGGGCTGTTCATGTTTTGCACCCCAATAGATTAATTTCCACCTTTTTCCAAGGTCTGAGGGCATATAAAGAACTGGCGACTGTTTCCTTGTGCAAAGTACAGTAGCTGGGATGAAATCCGGTGTATTCAAGGTCAAGACTAGAGCCCTCCTTAGCATTTCAGTTCAGCCTGTCATCTTGACGAGCCTACGAACACTAGCAAGTAAAGAGAAGTTCAATAATAACTGCAAAGCAAGCATGCAGAGGGAAAAAACAAGCCCTAGAGATTGTGTAATTAGCTCTGCTAACAGTAAATGAAGCGCCGTTTAGTCATGAACACTCTCGGCATGGCTGTGCCTATGAAAAGGCTCGCTCCGTTCGGAAGCGGCAGCCAAGGCAGCCCCTGTTGCAAGGAAGAGAAGACCCACTCTTGTGACAGGAGCTCCGAGCAGGCTCCTCAGGCTCGCGTCCCGACCGGTCTCAGTGGAAACCACTTGGAGATGCACGTATTCCCAGGCGGCTCACCCACGCTCACGGCACAGACCGGGCCCGTTCGGGGCAGTGCCGGGCCCGCAGTGGGGCGAGCCGGGCGGCGCGGGGACACCGGCCGCGAACGCTGCCGCTCCGGACCCTCGCGCGACAGGGCCGCGCTAGGAGCGCTGCAGAGGGTGCCGAGCGGCCTCTCCGTTCCCGGGCACCCACACACCCACCCGTAGGCGCAGGCTGTGCCGCGGGGCCCTTACCTGTGTATCCTGCCCACCAGCCCCAGGAGGCCACCATGGCCAGGAGCCACTTGAAGAGGACGCCCTCGAGGTGCCAGAAGCGCGCGCTGTCCAGCAGGCGCAGCGGCTGCAGCGCCAGCAGGTAGAGCACGTAGGACGGGATGGCCACGGCGTTGTTGGCCACCATGAAGGCGAAGCGGAGCAGCGCCTTGAGCAGCGCGCAGCCCGCGCGCGCCACGCTCTCCGCCATCGCTCAGGGCGCCGGCCTGCGGCGACACAAGACACGCGGCGGCCGTTACCGGCGGGGCGCGAGGCGGCGCTCAGGGCGC